GATCTCTGGATCTCGGCAATAGCGCTACCTTGAACGAATTATTCGTTCAATAACCAGGTCAAACCATCTGGGGATCAAACACAGATCAAACACAGATCAAACAAACACAGAGAATAACGGACAGCTATTGTTTTAGATGTGTATATATATATATATTATATATATATATATTATATATATATATATATATATATATATACATTACCAGACTTTTTCTAGCGTTAAATCTTTAGACAGCAATAAGAGTAACCATTGGATGAATTTGCAAACTCACCATCGCAATTTTAAGTTGCCGCCCGCACACAAAACATTCTCTGGTACGCTACTAATCTGCTTTTCACCATTCCGTAATTAAACTCACAGGATATAAAATTTTAAGGCTAATTAATGATCACAGTCTGTTATATTATCAGTAAGCTGTTTCTTGTTTAATATACAAAATATGTAGTCTTTAAGGTTTTATAGATCAAAATGAACGTTTATATGTTTGTCTCCTATCTTAATTGGGTTGAATGGTCTAAGTTTCCTATGCACGAAGTAAATCAATTTCGGTTACAGCTGTACGCTTGTGGAACTCCTTGTCTTTATGTATTCGGCATGCACGGTCCCTTTTTCTTTCAAAAATCAATTTAAAGCATTCTAATTGAAGCTGTAATATTTCCCATCATCCCATCATACTTGTCGTTCTTAATTGTGTAATTTATCATACCTATCCTAAACTGTCATCATCTTTAGTTTTAATTTTTCTATTTTTTTATAAATAGAAAAATAAAAATGTAATTGTCTTATGTATGTACTCCTTACCTCTTCGCCAGCGATTTTAAACAACAGTTCTTTGCGCAAAAGGTTGTCTCGAAGATATCGCTTCCAGAACGATAAGACCGCCTAGTGTAAATGCTACAGTAAAGAACACTGTAACACTGAACTGAACACTTCACTGTGTACACTGTACAGTAAAGAACATATTGATTGGTCGATTTTGCGTTCTCATACCATTTATTCGATTACTTCGAAACTTTGGTCTACTTATTATCAACATTACATCACCTGTGACGGGCGAAGTGCACTGCTGAACATAAGTTTTACCTAAGGAATACTAGACTGTCATCATCTCATCATCAACATCTAGTGGGGGCCGCCCTTCATCTCACTTATCGATACGAGGCTGCCACACGAGAACTTTTCTTCCTCATCGATTTTCAATTATTCGAGCTATGCAGCCAGCCTAATGTCGCTTCAGCTTACTAATCCGTTGAACTGAGTCTTCTTAAGTAATTCAATAAAAATCCAATGGGAAAAGAATACGACGAAGGGCTTCTGTCCGAAATTCAAAAAAGCGTTTCGTTCTCCATAACGATCCGTTTCACTGCACACGAGGTACATGTAAAAACAGTTTAAGTTACAAACTATTCATTCTACAATTTAGAATGACTTAAAATTAAAGAACTTTAATTTTCATAAATATTTGAGCTGATACTTTCTTTTAAAAAATGAGTTTTCATGCACTTCATCTACTGCACAACGGCTCTTAAAAGAAAACGGGTCGTTTTCAAATATAGAAACCTGGTATTAGAGATTTATTTCTGTTACTATTGTTTTGTAATCATTACTTATTCTAACTATTAATAATTTTTATGATATGAACGACATCGTATAAAATGATCAGGAGATAAGTGATAACATTTAATTTATTATAGTTGCGCTACATAAATAAACAGTAATCAAAACAGCCTTTTAGAAACAATTCTCGATAAACCAAGTAATAGCCCATTATAATTGTTGTCCTCGACCAAGAAATTTCCAGAACAGCATGTGGTAAGTAACAACGCGGTAACTGCGCGCGACGCAGTAAACTCCCCAGTATATCTTGCACGAATCGTATGGGACCTAAGATTTATTGCCGCCTCTAGAAACCTGGAGCCTTTGTCTGATGTCGCCACTGTCAGAATAAACGATACATTCGTCTCTTTCACTTTTTAAACTTATGAGCAAGACGGAAAGGGAATAGACGTGAGAATTCCGTCTGTTTGCTTCAAAATAGGTTTGTTAGGGGGAGTGTTAATAACGCTATTTTGTGAAGGGCGCTCAATGCAATTCCTCAGATTCAAACCTTACAACTTGCCATATACGTTCAAGTATAAGTACTTATCTTTGTAATAGAGTTCATTTTAAATAAACTGGACTAAACATTAACGTTGTTTTTCCTTCTGGTCACAGAGCATTTGCTTTAATCTTTATTTCTACAGACTTACAGTTCAAGTTTCATATATTTCTAGGCAAAAACATTTGTAATGCGGCAGCTGTAGACAGCTTTCTAGTTCAGACGTTATCAATCATTGTTCGTAAATTTATTAAGAGTTATTAAAGGAAAACTTGAAGGATGGGATCGTTGAGAGGCTGTGAAAGTTTCGAGATTTGATTTATCGCTGCAAAACGAACTATTAAATTGCACATGATATATTATTCATTGATATTAATTAAAGTTTAATGAAATATTCAAGGAATTTATTTTCTTATCATGATGAAATGACAAATGACAAATGAGTTAAATACTGTAACCTACTTACACTGGCAACTACCTTCAAATAAAAAAGGCTACAAATAGATGTGTTCCCAGTTCTGATATAAAAGATAAAATACCTCAAAGCCTGCAATTTTATTGAGCCTTCAACCGTTTCTTTTACTAATGAAAATAGGGGCTACCTTCACTGGTGGCAAACCTAAATGAGTGCTCCAAACCTTTGCTGTACGCATTACGAAAGAACAAGCAAGTTGTTTGGTTCAAATGCGGGAAATATGGGTAAAAAAGAAGGGATTTTCTGTCTATCAAATATGTATGACATGTCTATATATGTGTGTATTCTATATGTATATATGAATGTAATGTTTAGGACAATCCCGAATATTTAGGCATAATGCAAAATTCGGAAAGTAAAAAGTAAACTAAATATAATAAACATCCACGAAATAAGTTTCATTCAATTCAAGTGTATTTTATTCTTATATTGACGTAAAAAATAGTAATCAAATCCGACTATTGTATCAGTTTTAAAATTTTAATTGTTTTATGATGTAGAAATAACATTTTGCATTTATTTAATTTAAAATGAGACCTTTCAAAAACACGTCGAAAAACTATCAAAAGTGCAAAGTGATAGTAAAAAGTGCAAACTGATAGTTAAAGTATAAAGTAGAAGATGGCTGAGCACTGGTCGTGGCTGACGGGGGCGGAGGCCAGCGAGTACACGTACAGTCCGCCGACGAGACCTAGCAGGCCGCCACATCGACCCCTGGTCAAAGTGGCCACCAGCGCACATTTGCACACCATTGCCAGGTAACAAAGGTTTTATAATTAAATAATAGTATGTCATTTCATAAATTACATTACATAAATTAAAGATTCTCATAAAAATAAACAGTAAAAGAGTTTTGGCGGTAACTTGACCGCTGAATTGTTGATGAATTGCTGTCCTTATTCTATCGTTTGAATAATGGTTAGAAGTGGATTCTGATACGTAGAAGTGGTGTCATTTTGTGTACCCATGTGAACTGTTATTGGGAACGATAAGAAACTAGCTCGGATGATATTGCGAGTATTATTGTGTCTCTTTTGGTGCCTTAAGATACTAACGTCGTCGACTGTCTACTGGCTCAAGCTACCGTCAAAATCTCCTAAAACTTTGCAATATGACACATTAACTTGTTGTAAAGAAATTTTGAAACAAATAAACAATTTCTTATTACTTGACACTGGCTTATTACTCGACAGCTGCTTCTTTTGTAAACGACTTATGGTTCTTTTTTATTAAATAGAGGAGGCAAAATTCCACCCAGTCTGTTTTAGAAGGCAAAAGATAGCCTCAGCTTGTGGAACAGAATTCATACATCTGAATAACCGCACAATAAGCTGCTATTTTAGGCCGGTGTTATATGAGAGCGTGATCCTTCACCAGTTGAACCGACCCATTCGTGCTACAACTATAATAGCTTCAGTATGGTTCTACCACTAATGAAGATAGAAATTGAGTTTTCGAGTTACGTTTACAACTGCGGAAGAGCACTATTTTACGTGTGTAGTATACTTGTATCCAGCTACGAGTGGAAAAATAGAAAATCACGACCTGATAACACATGCGGAAATCATTGGATGCAGGGTTTGGATCGTGTTATGTGACATTCCTCGGATGAGGCCTATGTTCAGCAATGGACTTGTTTAGAACTGTAATGAATGAATGATACGTAGTAGAGCCAGACTGCAGCTACATTACAGTTTTAGCACGAATGGGTCGGCTCGACCGAGGGAGGACCACGCTCTCACAGAATACCAAAGAGTATAAGAGAGCAGTACAATACAGCTGTGTATCGAATGGTAAAAGTATTAAGACCCTAAAAGTATTTCAAAAATGATGTCAAGAAGCATTACTTAACACTTTGTGGTTATTGATAACCAATTCTAGTTTTTTTTAATGTATTATTGTGATATTTTAACAAATATAGTTTAGTTTATTTAGATATTAGAATGTAAGTGTAACATAAAACGCACCACCTCCTACTGTTCTTACTTCCAGTTTCTCCTTAGCCCATAGGTTGTCTGGAAGAGATCGTTCTTTAGCGATAAGACCGCCTTATTGTACATACGTATATATTAAGTTTTCTCTGTAATGTATTTATTCGTTGTATATGTGTGGTGTACAATAAAGTATATACTACTAAGACCCTTTTTTCTGGAAACTAGGCATTCCATTTTAGTGCTTGGAGTGACAACGAATCTGCATTTTCATTTTTGGTCGAGGATAAATGTAGATGTTTATGGGCCCAACCGTCCTTTTATTACCAGGTGGACTGTGTACTCGTTTGCTATCCTTCTTCTATAAAAAATGTATTAATGAAAGGGAGTGATTATAAAGAAAAAAATGTTATATCATTCACATAAATTTTATAAAATAACCATCAACCCATAAATAATTTGCCTTTTCGTTGTCTAAGTATGGCTAGAGTCCTTAATTGTACTTCTCCAAGACGGCCTCTATCATAGTTACTTCTGGAGCTATGCCATCCTCCTTAGCCATGACTTTGAAGCAGGCAGCTACCTTGACCACGCGAGAACAGTCATCCTCTATATCGTCGTATTGCTTCTCACAAGTGTGGATCATTTGTACCATTTTCTTGGAGAGTAGTTCACCTGAAGAATTGATAAAGGTTAGTTTTTCCGAGTGCTTCCGCTGCAAACTATGTGGTTACCTTTTGCTAAATTTTTGTGGGTTTCCCACAGTCGCGTCTTACGACACTATCGAGACAAAATGGGGGTTTAGATTTTTTTTTAAAGAATAAGGGTGACAAACGAACACACAGTCCACATGATGGTAAGTGGATACTGTGGCCCAAAGACATCTTCATCTGTCCTCGGATTACAATCAAAATTTTGAGGACTAAGTTGGAATGCCTCGTTTCCAGTAAAAAGGGTCTCCGGTTCACACTTACTATAGGGAACACAGCAGCGTTAAGCTGCTATTTCACGTCAACTATGTTAACTATTTTGTGTGAATATCATAGGCCCCGAGTTGGGTATTTTTGTTGCGGACCGAGTTTTTTTTTTAAAATTAAGAAAACGCTACTGTCCATCTCCTGATAAGCAAATTTGATAAATAAGTACCTTCGGGGAAACTCAAGATATAGTCATGCATGTTTGTGTGGTGCATGCGGGCGTCATCATGCATGAGGGCTAACTTGTTTGACATGCAAATGAGCGCACAACCCAGCTCCCTGTGAACCACTTCGAAGTCCTCGCTCCAAAAGATCTTGAATTCGTCCATGGTTTCTTTCGTTAATCCCGACTGTAAATGTAATTTTTTTATTTTTGTTGTGTCATAAATTCAGAACCTTGTCAATCTTGCACTGTGATATATTTCTAATTTTTGGGATAGGACTCGCTCATGCTGAATCTTGTTGGAGAGCCTATACACATTGAGATCTGTTCCATTCGTAGGCTCAGACCTAGTCTCATTTCTGTGAGGGTTTTAGAGCAAGAAAATGTCCACCGCGCTGCCCCAATGCGTGTTGACGAACTTCACATGTCTTCGAAATATTTTTCCGTATTCCTCGGATATGCAGGTTTCCTCACGATGTTTTTTTATCTCGAGCATGAGGTAAGTCACCACCTAAAATTGTAATTAACAATTTCATTGTGTCGACGTGGATCGAACCTGGGTTATTCGCGTACTGTGATGTTGTCAGCCTCATAATATTGCATATTTCATACTAATTGTGTTAATAAATAAACGAATAAAAAATACGTGTGGCACTCGGTGACTGCCGCGGTAAAGCTATTGCATAGCATTTTTATCAACTTATGCAATTATAATTATTTATTTATTTTATTTATGCAGTTAAGTCTTTGATATTAAATCAAGTTACACTTTTTGAGCGTGGTGACCGATAAGAAAACAATTTTTTTTCTCTTATTGAATAAATGAGAAGTTAATATTGCTTAAAATATTTTTAATATCTTACAATACATGTAGGTTATTCAAGAATTTTTATCATTGAGTTAGCAGCTAGTGTACACGCATACGTCTAGTCGCACGCACACAAACACCGTGCCGAAGTCTGCCGAACTGAAACGACGTTAGACGATGCACGGCTTGCAACGCCACACCTCCGTGCCCGTCGGAGTGGGGAGCGTGAGGTTTTTTTTTCGTTACGGAATTTCTGGATTCGGTCCCCGCGCTCAAGGCCCGCGATAGAAGCTATGCAATAGCTTAATAAATGAACAAATAAATTACTTTTAATTTTGTATAATATTGTAAATAAATTTTGTTTAAAAAAAGTTTGGTTCGGTTTCCTGCTGTTTCTTACCAGGACAGAGGTTTTTTCCGAACCAATGGCAAAACTGAAAAAACACTTTCAATTGGAATTTCGTGTAATCAATATTGTACAAAAATGATTTTATTTTAGTCTACAGTCTGTAAACATGTTCAAGATCATCCCCGCCATTACATTAGATTTGATGTACCACAAATCCTCGCAAAAGAATACCGATTCCTACCAAGGATGATTCGCGATGCTATTGCAATTTAAAAAGAAACATCCTGATTTCAATAGAGATGATGAATGGGTGCTAGCATCTGCTTGGAATCCTATAATTAATAAAATTAAATTCAAACCTAAGCATTCCACTGCATGACTTGAATATACTGTTAGCTGGCTGGATTGGTTCAAAAGTTTATATTTAAAAGCTAAAGGTAGCCAGGCTAACTATGACATCGGGACGTCAAACACCTCAATCTACCCTGTAAGCATGGGTGCTGTAAAGCCCCGAAACGTCGGAAGTTAAAATAATTTAAATAAGTTAAATGCGATAAAATCCGTAAAATTAGTTACGTATTGTTATTAGCGTTAAAAAAATAATTGAATTCTCACCTCGCCGCGGCACTCCTCTAAAGCCATTCCAAAATCAGCTGTAGCATGGCTCAAAGCTTCAGCAGTTCCCGTAACAGGATCCAAGACAAACGCAAGAGCAATTCCACAACCCAACCAATACCCGGAGCAAACCATAATGTCTTGTTGAGCTAACGAATTCGCACTGCAATAGCTCCTACTATGAAATCTCTTCATTATATATAGATTTTATTTTTTTAAATGTATTTATGATATGTTATTACCTTATTAGTTATACAATAGAATTTATGTCAAGGACTTCTTCTCTTTGATTACTAGCATAGAGCCTATTTTTGCATTTAAACCGCATTACCGTATCTTGTCGATCGGCCGTGATGATATCCGCCGTGTGCAAATAGGCGAAACTACGTTCTAGAAGTAATTGATAGGTTATAATATAACAAGTCACGCTGTACGTATTAACCACACTTATAAAACGTATGCCGTTGTCAAATTATTTAGGCATTATTGATTGTCATCTTTTCGTTGACGGATTATACACGATAACTTCCGATTGTACCTTGTCCACGTGGTCGTAATGACTTGAATATGGAGAATGATATTACGTTGTCGATTTATTATGAAGGCTAGTAATAGATACCTTTTTTGTTACTATGCAAGGTTAGCTATTTATCTAACATTTTATTACTAAAGACTAAATACACTCACGGACTAATTTAGAGAAATGCAAAAAAGTGTGTATAAAATAAAATATCATGGATATTTGAGACAAGTTTATTAATTTGGAATTCACTAATTTTGGTCAATTTAAAATTGCACAAATGACAAAAATTAACTAAATTAAGATACAAAGAAAAATTTTATACTAAAGATACATTTTTGAACGTAACATTTTTTTTTCATAAATGCTTAGCTTTAACGTGGACTGTAATCATTCCTTAGTATTGCCCTCTTCGGCTCTTTGAACTGCTTGAAGTCTCCTTGGCATAATCCTAATCGAGCTATCAATAAAACTTGAATTTGATTTGCTTTCCATTCTTCATATAATGTTTTTAAGATCTCTTAAATTAACTGCGGCAAGATTTCTTTTCTTTATTTGTCTTCCAAGTTTATGCGATACGTGTTCTATGGGGTTCAAGTCGAGCGAGCGCGCTGAACACTTCATAGCACTAATTTCAACGTCTCGTAGGTATTCGACAACTACGGTCGTAGTGTGGGGCGTGCATTATCGTGCGTAACAACAAATATATCTGCAATAAAAGGAGCAAATGGTGCTTCATCCAAACTCTCAATTACATATCGTGTTCGTGCCGCTGTTATACAAATACCTTCCCATACCATATCTGACCCTCCGCCATTTGCCTCTTTTCCAATGGTGTTGCACTGAGCGTTCTCTTACGGGCTAGATCGGGGATGGGATGGGAAGAATCTCTGTCCAGCAGTGGACCTTTTTTTAAATGAAAATTCTGATTACTCATTATAGAGGGTAGTAAATGTTTCAAATATGTAATATAAAATTTATAAAAATAGGTATAAATGTAGGTAGGGCCACGCTTTCACAAAATACCAACGTAAAAGATCAGCTCAATGCTGCTGTGTTTAGTATGATGACTGTAGAGAACCGGAGACCCCTTATACGTGGTAGGGCCATGCTGCAATTATATTAGTAGTATAGTTGTAGCACGAATGGATCAGCTCGACCGGGGAAGGACCACGCTCTCACAGAATACCAGCATGAAATAGTAGCTTAACGCTGCTGTATTTCGTATGGTGAGTGTAGAGACCGGAGACCCTTTTTACTGGAAACGAGTCATCCCATATTAGTCCTCACGGGTGACAACGCATCTGTATTTTGATTCGTAATCGAGGATAGATGTAGATGTCTATGGGCCGCAGCAACTACTTACCATCATGTGGTTTGTGTGCTCGTTTGTCAATCTATCCTATAAAAAAAGACACTATGTACTAAAAACGAGGCACCTGCATTTTGATTCTTAATCAAGGATAAATGTAGACGTCAATGGGCGTCAGACTGTATACTCGTTTGTCACCCTTATTATATAAAGACCTTTTTATGTGTTGTACTCTGATATTTTACAAAGCTAGCGATCCGCCGCGGCTTCGCACGCGTTATTTCCGGATCTCGATAACAGCGCCACCTCCGATAGGTGAATTCTGAATCTAAACTATCCAGGATCCACTCAATCATGTACAAAAAAAATCAAATCGGTCCAGTCGTTTGGGAAGAGTGCAGTGACAAACACCTGTACAGAAGGATTATATATATATATATATATATATATATATATATATATATATATATATATATATATATAATAATGATAAAGAGTACTGATATTATGGAAATATTTTATTGTACGCAGTTGTTTAGATAATATATAAATACTTGGTTAAAGCTGGTTTTAAATTGGTTGGTAATAAGATATTCTGGTCACGATTGCCATTCCACGGCCCATTGCTAGTGGAATCACTTTCCTATAGCGGCCGCGACTGTCGGGAAGTGATGGATGCATGCCGCACGTGAGGGTGACCAGTTGGAAATTGGTAGAGCTATAAAAAAGATTTCAGGTTCTCTACACTCACTGTATGAAATACCCGGCCTTGAGCTGCTATTTTACGCTTGTATTCTGTGAGAGCGTGGTCCTTCCCCGGTTGACTGACCCATTTGTACTACAACTATACCTACTAATACAGCTGTAGCATGGGTCTGCCACATAAAGAATGTCAGAGAAATATAAAACCGAAAAGGGCAGAACGACATCTGTGGAATCAGTTAGTTTACAACAATAGTTAATGTTGCTATATTTCTTGTAGATCAAAAATAACAGTAAAATTAGTAAAAACATTTATTTAAAAACTAACCTGTTTTTGAAAAGTAATTTCCCGGGAGGTGCAGCTTCCATGAGTTTTCTTCACTCGCGGTGACTTGTACCATCAATCATCGCAGCGAGGCGGCGCGGTGCGGCGGGCATTGAAAACAATCTGTCAAGTTATAATGATCCCGTTTCTGACAGTGAGATAGCTTTTACCTGAAAGTTTGAAACTTATTTATGTATTTACGAATGTGAAAAAATTACGATGTTTTGGAATACGCTTGTAAGATAAAATCAAAAAATAAAGATTTACACACAATGTTTTAAAAGATATGATTAAAAAAGTTTTAAGTAAAGAGTTTGAGACAAAAAATTTAAGGAAATTAATATGTTTTATACGTGGTAGAGTCATGCTGCAGTTATATTAGTAGTATAGTTGTAGCACGAATGGATTGGCTCGACCGGGGATGGACCACGCTCTCACAGAATACCAGCGTGAAATAGTAGCTTAATGCTGATGTGTTTCGTATGGTGAGTGTAGAGAACCGGAGACCCTTTTTACTGGAAACGAGGCATTCTATCTTAGCCCTCACGGGTGACAACGCACCTGCGTTTTGATTCGTAATCGAGGATAGATGTAGATGTCTATGGGCCACAGCAACTACTTACCATCAGGTGGACTGTGTGCTCGTTTGTCACCCTATCCTATAAAAAAATGTTGTAGAATGACTTAAGCGGAATCTGTCGTGCGCAATAAATTCCGCTTAAGTTATTCTAAAAGTGTAGTAATTCTTCTTGGTGTTGCTGAAAGATGGGTGGTGCTGCTGTCGGTTTGCATACTTTGGTGATGTCATGTAATTACGTTCCTCATGTAACACACGTGTGTGATTGTAACGGGTCATATTGCGGTGTGGTCGAACTGTGTGAATGTATGGTGCAGTACGCAGTTTTATTGATGATAATAATAATAAACTCTTTTTATTTGTCTCAGTTCACACATGTTATTAAAAATGTACAAATAAAAATCATCACAAACTTAACTTAGAAACATACTAATAATGACTAATTGCGTAAGCAGGAGTGCAAGTTGAACATCCGCCCTCACACTATTGTTATTTTTAAACATTAATTTTCAGATGAAATTCCGGGAAATACATTAATTTTTATCTTTCGTTATATTTACTAAAATGTATGTACACAAAAATATAAGCAGTTTAAAAAAATATTTTTAGTAGAAGGGTGACACACGAGCACACAGTCCACCTGATGGTATGTGGATGCTGCAGCCCATAGACATCTACGAGTTCACCTGGCCTGGATTAGGAATTAAAATTCACACGCGTTGCCATCCCTGAAGACTAAAATGGAATGCCTTGTTACCAGGCCTCAGATGCCTCCAGGTCCGTTTATTTCTGTAAAATTCTAAATGTTTTTAAATAAATTTACTCAGTTACCCCCCGTCGTACAGAATAACAGTGGTACACAGTTGCGCTCGCTCCCCACCTGCTCACCTTATTATCTCTAATCAATAAAACCGAACGCGACAAACATACTCGCGACTTTATTTGGTAGAAAATATAAAAATTTACATATAAAACAGGTCGAGATTTCTTTCAAAAATATTTATTCCTCCCCTGGCAACCCTACGTGACGTGAATGGATTCGGGGTTGGTATCTGGCAACATACGATCGCTCATTGTCTGCTCCTCCCTATGCGATACGATACATTGTATGTCTGTGATTCTATATTAGAGTTTCTTTTTTAGCGTTTTTATTATGATTTTGTAGTATCTTTCTCATAAAATTAAAAAAAAAACAGGTCATTTTGTGTACTAAATTCAAGTTTTTGGTTTTGTCAAATCAATTGAACTAATAACCGCATTTCCAAAATACATCACGTACTAAATAATCAGGGATCAACAATTAAAGGCATTAAGAGTAATGATGTTTTTTTTATTAAATGTGTACAGAAAATGAAATGTAATGACGACCTGAAAGGATCCACCTCCCCTTATCATCCCGTTGAAAATAAACAGCAGATGGAGAGCATCATTTTTCTGATTTCAACTATTACAATTATCCTCGCTATCAGGCAATCCAAGGGGGAGGTCTACTTTCAGCAGTAGACTTTTGATAGACTCTAATCATGATTAAGTACGGCTTTTAATGAATAAAAAATGATTACTCAGGAAATATAGTTTTTTGTAATTAAAGAGCGAGCACGTCGTCCATTTGATGATAAGTGGGTGCTGTGGTTCATAGACATCTGTCATCTGTAGTCATCACTGAGGACTAAGATGGAATGCCTCGATTCCAGTAAAA